CTTTTCACTCAAGTCCAGGCTGCTTTGCTAAGTCTGGGCCCACAGGGTCCTTGACAAATCCCAGCGTTGCTCTCCCTTCCATCTGTTCCTGGAAAGGAAGCTGGGCCTCGCACCTTGTGCACCTGTTCCCTGCTGCAGCAGAGACGCCCCTTAGGAGTCAGTCTTAGAACGCTTCCATCCGACGTTGCCAGCCCAAGTGCAAATCCATGTCTTAGCCACTCCTGCCAGCATGGCTACCCATCCTGCCCCTGCTGGCTCACCCTCCAACTTGCCTCCCTGGAATTGGCTTTTCTATTCAGCAAAGCATGGGAGGGAAACATAGCCATCTTTATCCCACTACCACAACATAACCCTCCCTCTCCCCCACAGGTGAGAGATGCACATTCTCCCAAAATCAAACTGTGCATTTTAGATTAGGGACCATCCTTGTGCCACCTTCAGATGTGTGTGTCTCGTTAGGCTGCTTGCTGCTTACATCAGTGTCATTCCCAGAGAGCATCTTCTAAGGACTGTTGCTGTGTATGGAGCAGAAAACCTCAAGCATTTTTTTCTTAAAAGAAGGATTTATTTATTTATTGGAACGTCAAAGTGACAGAGACAGAGGGAACAACAGAGAAAAAGAGAGAGGGGGGAAGGCGGAGAAACCAACCACTGGTTTTGGCCTCCTTCTGATGCAGCAGCTAGGGTCTGAATGGTTCACAGTCAGGAGTCGGGAGCTCCGTCCTGGTCTCCCACGTGGGTGGCAGGGGCCCAGGCACCTGGGAAATCTTCAGCTGCATCTCCAGGCGCAGTAGCAGGGAGCTGGGTCAGGAACACAGAACAGCCAGGACTCCAGAGTGCCACGCTCCTGTGAGCTGCAGGTTTCCCAAGGGGCAGCTTTCCTTGCTCTGAGGCTCACGTATTGCACCTAGACGTTCTGATGTGACATCACCATCACTGTGCTCCCACCCCACCCCGCCCCCGCCAAGGGAGGTCTCCCAATCTCATTTCACATTCTGAAAAGGCAGAAATCGGAAATCATGAATTCGCCCCACTGGCAACGGTTGCAGCTGGAGCTTGGGAGTGAGGAGACTGCCCTTCAGGGTTGGTGGTCAGCCACAGAGGCCCAGAAATCAACCGTGCTGGCGTCTCTCTTCCTCCCCACGAGCTTCCAGTGGCCTATCCAGCACTGACAGGTTGAAAGGCTTCCCATGGAGCTGTAGCCACACTGCAAGCTAACTGTGTGATCTCATCCAACCAACACTTCATCGCAGGCTCAAGCCTTTGCCTGTGTCCCTATGGGAATACTCAGGTTTGCATTCTGGCTCTAGCTTAGGTGCATCCTGGGAGGGGATCAGTGGTCAGGTCCCTGTCACCCACATAGGAGAGCTGGATTGAGGTCCTGGTTCCTGGCTGTTGGCAGGCAGCTGGGGAGCGAACCATCACATGAAAGGTGTTTGCTCTCTCTCTCTCTCTCTCTCTCTTGCTCTTGGAGAAAAACAATTTTAGAAATGCAAACCCTAACCCCACATCCAGCATGTGAATTTCCCTTGCCAATCATTTAGCTTCCTGCTGCTACTGTCTACCTTTAAGCACACATCATTATTCACAGCAGAATCTGGGTTTCCATGAGCCGCCTGCTGCCCGGCCCACCACTACCCATGGATGGCAGGGAGCCACGGGACCTCCACCCCAGCTATAACTCACCAAGAGAGGCAGGCCTTGAGGGAGCTGCAGGAGCTCAGCTCTCTATCCCTGCCTTTCAAATAAGTAGAAATCAACCAAACACATCCAGATGAGCTGATTGAGAGAACATGAAAAGCAGAGCCAAGAGAAGGAACCTCCCTAAGTTTGTTTCTGATCTGCTGCCAGGGGGTGGCTTGCAGCGGCAGAGTCCAGGCAGGCAGGATGGGTATCAGAGCCAAGTGCGGGCCCATTTGGTGACAAAGGCTCTGGATCCCTCTCTGGCCTAAGATCCCTCCCTGAGAAATTGCCTGGTGCTGATTCAAAGGCCTTCACCAGCACACATATAACACTGTGCACATGGATCCTATGCACGTGATTCCAGGGTTTTAAAAAGCTCAGGCAAGGGCCTGCGCCTTGGCGTGATAAGCTAAGGCATCGCCTAGAGCTCCAGCATCTGATATGAGCATTGGTTTGAGTTCCACCTGCTCCAATTCTGATCCATCTATCCGATAATGGCCTGGGAAAGCAGCAGAGGATGGCCCAAGTCATGCAATAAAAAAAAAACTATACTCTTCTTTTGTGGTGGGGAGGAGAACCCAAATAAACTGCTCTTAAAGAACTCTTGTGTCTGGCAAAATTCCCTGGGACTCTGGGGATCTCCTTGCTGTCCACACCTCCCCCGGGCGTCAAATACATCCAATGCCTGCTGGGCTTGGAATCCCCTGATGGCTCTTGCACAGAAGCTTCAGGGAACTGGGTACTGTCTCTTTAAATAGTCAAGGTCCAGATCAGCTCAGGCCACCCTGACACATCCCAGCATTGGGCCAGCCCCTGCATAAACTGGAAGGGCTCCTGCTGTAGTTTCATGCACTGGAAGGGAGCTGCTCTTGGGGACAGCCCCTGGAGCCTGGCTGGACACAACGGTGGGTCTCCGGCTGCTCCGTGGGAGAGGACCTGACCTTGGCCCCCTCTTGCATTGGATTGCAAGGAAATCCACGTGGAGCAAGGTGGGCCGGTGAGTTCCAATGGCAAACTGTGCGTTGGGGTGGTGTGAGCTGTGTTCTGTAGAGTTGCCCAATCCCCTCCTCCTTTGCCTTCCCCCTTCCCACTCCCCCTGACTGCAAATGGAAAGAGCTGCAACCCAGATGGTGCATTTGTGTTGGAAGCCACTGGAGGAATCTTTTAGAGCTTTGGTGGAGAGTTGGCTGTGTGCTCTGGCTGGGGAGGCAGTGAGCGCATCTGAGTGCCTGGAAACCTCAGCAATTGCAGGCTGGAGGGGGAGGGGTTCCATGTACACACAGCTAGCAGGTGGTTTAGTAAACAGGTGGAGGCAGAAGTTTTCACCTGTGGCGGACCAGGCCCTGATGGTGGCTGAGCCTGGTGGGTCCTGCAGCAAGTGGGACCTCAGGCAGGAGGCAGCAAGGTGGGCTCCGCCCACCTGGTGTCTTCCAGTGCCTGAGTGGAAATCCTGGGACCCATGGAGAGGAAGCTGGGAGCTGTGCCTTACAACACGTCCGTTTTTCTAGATGTTTTTCTTGATACTCTATGCAAAAGTTTACTTTTAAACACACACACACACACACACACACACACACACACACACACACACACAGGGAGAGAGAGACAAAGGATCAGAAAGCAAAGCCAGACATACATATTTGTAATATTTGTAAAGCGCTACTGAGAACACCACAGGGCACTTTGTGAGCACACAGATGTTGGTTAAGCAAAGACTCAGTGGCCGCAAACTAGGATAAACATGACCTCTCCAACGACCCATGGAGGGGAGACAATACTCCAGCCGCTTTAGCGGAATCACTTTCACAGAACGGTGCCTGCACAGGCACAGCAAACCTCTGTCCAGAGTTAAGCGTTGAAAGCTATTTTCATGCCAAGGTGGGTCAGTTCTGCCATGCAGAGTTAGTCTGAGGGTTACCTGGCTGCAGAGGGGGGAAAATCCAAGCTCAGCAGTCTTCGGAACCTCTCCAAGCTCACGTGGGAGGGAACCCAACAAGTCTGCGTTCCAAGCAGGCGTGCGTTCATCATTGCACTGCACTGCCTCTCACAGACTCTCTATGACAAAGTCCACGTGAAGTGGCAGGTGTACCGCAGACCTGCCATAAAGCGGTCTAGAAGCAGCACTTTACATCCGATAGCACAGTCAAAGACAGTTTTCAAATTTACTTGAAAGAGAGAGGCTAGGATTAAGCTAACGTGGGAGCTAGTCTGAGGCAATAATAGTAATAATAATATGGGGAATGCTTAGAATAATTTGAAAGAGGTTGTCAGACTAGATACACCAGCTGGTAGGAAGGTGTGTGTGCCTGCGCGCGCAGTGCTGCATTCGTAGGCAAATCAAGTTTAACATTCACATCCCAACCTTCTGTTGCTTGTATCTAGTTGGTCTGAGCCCCTGCCACTGTGGGTGCCCCAGCTCCAAGCCTCTCTCTCTGTCCCGCTGGGCAGACCACATTTAGGCGGAGATGAATCAGCTGCTTTCGCTGGCTGCGCTCCCCTCCATCTCCAATGGCCACCTCCCTCACCGTCCACCCCTCTTCCCGCCCCGAGCCCGTGGCCCGAAGAACGCCGGCCACGGGTGGAAGCCACGCCAAAGTGTTGCAGGCAAACTTCTTTTGGAGCTTGCTGGGCGGCAGCCCGGCTTTGCCTGCTCCAGGAGGAGCCCCTACCCCAGGGGCCACGCAAGTCAGTCTCGCTCAACCCGCGGCACCCGAATTTCCACCCAAGCTGCGCCCTGCTTCTCCATCCCACTGCGACTAGATCGCTGCCCTGAACTCCCAGGCAGTCGCCCGCTTCCTAGGCGCAAGGCTAGGCGTGGCGTCAGGCAAGCCAGGCGCACCTGGGCCTGAGAAAGCCAGAGGCGCACGGCTTCCAGTCCCCAGGCTAGGGGACAGCCAGGAGAAGAGCAATTGGGCTCCGGTGTCCCCAAGGCGTGGGCGCAGTCGGCGTCGGTGCTGCCCGAAGCCCTGCGCTGGACACCGTCTGGCACAGAAGTTTTTGAGTTTTTGTTTTTTCCATGTGGGCCGAGGTGGGGGTGCGGCAGGGCAGGGAGGCCAGTTTCCATGATCTGGGCGGGAACCCGGGAGGCGAGAAAAAATAAAGCAGCTTCCAGGGTCGAGTGAAAAAAAAAAAAAAGTGGCCGCGGCGGCAGGGACGGGTTTTTGTCGAGATGGACTTTTTCAAGGCCAAGAAACAGTCCGCTGCCCTCCCTCGCGCCCTCCCCTTGCCCCCTCTCGCCTCCCCCGGAGTCCCGCCCTGGCGCACACCACGAACCCAGGGACACACCCTCCTGCAAGCGACGCAAACAGGGCGTTGCTCCGGTTAAAGGGGAACGCCGGGAGCCTCCCACTGCCCCCTTTGCTTCGCGCGCGCTTAAGTCTTTGGGGAACGCCAGTCGCCTAGCGAACCCATCCGAGTCGAGGATCAGGGGACCGGCTAACGACTCCTTTTGGGCTGTAAGTAACTTGATAGGGCGGAATCGGGGAGGGGATGGAAGTGAGAAAACGCGGGCATCACCCGTCGAGGCCGTGCCGGGAAGCCCCGCGCAGCAGACAGGCGCGGGCTCCGGCAGAGATCCTCCCTCCCGCTCCCCACCCCTGGTCTCCGGAGAGCCTTCCGTGCGCTCCGCCTGCCGGGCAGTTCCTTCGGGTGTGTAGTCCCTTCAGGGATGGGTGCTGGTGTTCGGCTCCAGGGTCAGGGAGCCTTGTTTGGAAGGGGGACACACGGGGCACGCAGTCCCCCTGCGGCGAACATCTCAGGGGTCCCGGCCCTTTCGGGTCTCCCTTCCTCCCGCCGCCCCCCCCCCACCCACCAGCCCCAGTTGCTGGCCACACGCCCAAGCACTCTGCTTTTGGCGCTCCAGACCATCCGATTCAATGGATGGCCTCTGGAAGACGCGACAAAACTCCATCGTTGCTGCTACGTCTTCCAGAGTTTCTTGCAGTAGCTAAAAACAGGAGCGGCCTGGGCTTGGACACTTACAAGACAGGGCTTTTAGGAACCAAGTGGTCAGCCACCCTTACAGGTCCCCAGAGCCCAAAGGGACAGCACAAGACCCCAGGGCTGCCTCCTGGTAGGGGATATCCTACTGGTACGTTCTTTGCCTGAGATCCTAAGGCTAGCCCCTCAGGCGAACACTTGCACGTGCGCTCAGGCAGTTATTCCAGGGGTGCAAAGTGCTCCGCGCCCTTCCCCAGGGGCTGCCATGGGGGGGAAAAGCACGTTTGGACGGGAAGCGCGCAGGGGCCGGGCAGCCTTTCTTTCCTTTCCACACTCCTCCCCTCTCGACTCGGCCCTGTCTCTCCATTGCCCGCCAGTGTCTCGATGCCAGGCGGAGCTGGGGGCCAGGACACTGGAAGACCTGACTGGAAACCCAGAGACTAACGGAATCGGCTAGGCGCGCCAGAGTTTGGGAAAGCAGCTTCCCAGCCACGTTGTTTCCGTATACAACACGCAATGGGTACTCCCTGAGGGCTCTGGGTGTCCACCCGCCGCACTTGTACCTCTAACCTGCAGGGCAATTCGCCCTCTGGATAGGGGTTCAGGAGAAAGTGGCGTATCTTCTTTCTCCAACTCAGGCTGCCTTTGCCCAGGGGAGGAGGTGCCCAGGCTGGAGATGGGGGAGGCGAATGTAAAACGTGCTGGGGCGGTGGGTGGATGGGGTACGGCTCCACATTTTGGAAACTCGTTGTCTTCCAGAGAGTGGGGAGGGAGAGGGGGCTTTGGACAGGCGCGCTCGCAGCGGCGCTCGGGTGCCAAGAGCTGTTCCTTGGCCGGCTGCGGGTGGGCAGGGGATCCCGCGGACGGCTGCTGCCCCCTCTTGGCCGCGGGGCGGCGCGAGGGCGCGCTCACTCTCGGTGGACAGGCACGGGGCCAGGCCCGGGCATTCCGCTAAGCGCCTGGGACCCCTCCCTCCTCTGCGCGCTCCTCCCCAGCCCAGCCCAGCCCAGCCCGCCCGAGCAGCCTGTTGGTCACAGCCTTGGAGCCTCGCCTTCTCACAGCTGGCGCTCTTTCTTCCCGAGCAGGCAGGCAGTCAGACAGACAGGCGACTCCGCCGCGCAGACACTCGCCGCCAGAATGTTGCTGCTATTGCTGGGAATCATAGTCCTCCACGTGGCCGTGCTGGTGCTGCTGTTCGTGTCCACCATCGTCAGCGTGAGTGTCCTCGACGCGCGCACTCCTGGGGCCCCTGCTCCCGCCCAACTTCAGCACTGGAAGCCTCAGATGTCCCAGAGCCTTGATTTATTAACCTTGATCTGTTTTGTTTGTTTTTAAATAAACAAACAATTTTCTGGTCATTTGCCCTCTCCAGTCCATCGCTTGGAGAAAGGCAGAACAGATTCAGAGATGGGAAAGAAGCCAGTACCCTGGGGACTAAGGAGCTGGCACCTCCTCTGGGAAGCCCAGACACCTGGGTTGCATGTCCAGGCTAGGGTGGCCTCAAGTGAGAAGTCTGTTTAGCTCCTACTTCCTGCCCCCCACTTGATGCATGCAATCTTTGGTAAAGTTGAATATTGCTGGGACACTTCATTTCCTCCAAGTCACCGCACAGGTCTCTTGGATGGCTTTGCTTCTCAACTCCTCCCATCTCCCCCCCACCCCCCAGCCCGCCTGCCCATCCCCTTTTTGGATTTGAGAGTGTGAAGTTGTGCAGTTCTAGAAAGAGAGCTCAGAGGTCCCAGCTGATGAGACCTCACGCTGGTGTGAAGAGTTGGTGTGGAATGGGCAGCATTCATTGGCTCTGGGCAGGGCAAAGCGCTATTCTCTGAGTCTTGTTTGGGGGGAAAATCACGCAGTTGGGAATTGCAGCTTATGCCTGAGATAATCTTGTCTGTTATGAATTCCCAGCAAGGCCAAGGGCTCAGAGGAAGCTGGGCTGGAGAAAAAGCTCAAATGCTGAGTTAGACTGAGATTGTGTGTGCTATAATACACACCTCTGCACATGGCCGTGTGTGTGTGTGTGTGTGTGTGTGTGTGTGTGTGTGTGTGTAAGGGGTGATTTTTGTTAATGGAATCCCGGCTGTCATCTCAACATGATGCCTGCACCATACCTTCTCTCCATCTTCTATCTGGGTCAAGTGGTCACCCTGGGTCAGGGCAGGGACAGGGGCAGGCTGGGGCATCCCAAGTGGATGTGGCAGCTCTGAGCTGTGCCTCTGCTCACCTGAGGGAATCTTCTGGTTGTTTCTAGCATTGGCTCAAGGGCACTGGATACTCCACTGACCTTTGGCAGAACTGCACTATGTCCTCCTCTGGGAACGTCCAGCACTGCTTCTCCTCGTCGGCAAACGGTGAGCCGGGGGACACATCCTCATGGGACGTCATTGCTGTGGGGGAGGCATGATGGGAGGTGACAGGGAGAGTGACAGACAGACCCAGCGTCAAGGACAAGACACAGGGGGCCAGCGGAGGCAGCGTGCTAGCTGTCCAGCAGCCCCCTTGGTGCACAGGCTCTGACCGGTGTCTGTGGATTAAGCGATTGCCTCTGTCCAGAGATGTCCTGTTCCTCTTGCTCCTCCTCGTTGGGGGTGTCTCAAGGATGCTGCACACCTGGCTGGCTTCCTGCAGTGATAAAGACAGTCACACTGTGTCTTGGGCTTTGGTGGTGTCTCCTAGCATCACAATCTTTTTCGGGTGTTGTCTCATAGCGACATGGGGACTTGAAGGTGGTTGGTAAAATTCCCAGCGAAGCCTGGGGTCCTGTGTCTGGAAGACTGAATTTCTCCTTGTGGCCGTACTGGGGGCAATATGGGAAACCAGGTTTCATGAGGGCTGAGTTAAGTAAGGGAGGCAGTGAGGCACCTGTTGTTATAAACCTAGTCTCCCTCCTCCCGCACCTGTATCAAGCACCCACGGGTGGGGGTGGAGTACTGCGCAGGGAACCCTGGGTCTTGGGAGGCAGAGGATGTGTTGTGCAGGTGATTGTGTGGGTCACGATGATTGGGATTCAGACCCCAGAGTGAGCATGGCTTGTCACACTGAGCTGTTGCAAAGCCTCAGCCCTTAGCCAGGAGAGGAAAGGAAATATGCCAACCTCGCCCAACCTTGTAGGTTTCAAAGGCCAATCAAGTTTAGCTGCAAATGTTACTGTCTCGGTTTCTGGGTCCCATATTTATGTTGGAGATGCCACACTGCAGGAGAGGAACCAGTTCCGACTCTGTCCAGGCGAGCGGGCTGTGACTCGCAGCCCTTGGCTTTGGCTTTGCACCCTGCGGTCTATCTGTTGGGCTCGTCCTTCTGTAAGCTCTGTTCCCAGCAGCACACGGGTGTGTCTCCATGGAACTGCTCAATTGCGAATGGATATGGGGTAGGGGTGAGAGGGGGCACAAACAAATTAGGAGGAAACTGGCTTGATGTTTCCTGCTTCCTGGGGATGGAGGCGGAGGGAAGACCCTAGTGTTGCCTGGGGAACCACTGGACTCCAACTCTCCTGAACAGCTGGGCTTTGGGCCTGCGGTAGAGCACAACACCTCTAAACCATCGCAGAGTTCAGTTCTCAGCTGCAGCTCCTGACTCCAGCTGCCTGCTGAGGTGCACCTGGGAGGCCGTCATTGATGGCTCAAGGTGCTGGGTTCCTGCCCATGCACATGGGAGACCTGGAGTGAGTTTTTAGCTCCCAGCGTCTGTCGGTCCTGCACCCTGGCCTGGCCCCAGCTGTTGCCGGCATTTGAGGAGTGAACCAGGACTGATGTCTCTTGGTCTTCGCAATCTCAAACAACTGACCTTAGAAATAAACAAATGTCACCATCCAGAAGATTGCCTCTTGCTCGGTGAGTTGGCACCGGGTATGTGAAATACTCAGAAGCTCCTGGGAATGTGATGTCCCCCAAACCACTGATGTTTCTCCAAAGCCATTGGCCACTCTGATCTCTCTGGAGTCTGAAGTTTCCAGGGACTCCTGCGCGGGAGTCTCCGCACTCGCTGCTGACACCTGGTGGTCACCAGTGGCAGTTCGGCCCGCGGAGGAGGAGGAGAAGGAGGAGGAGGCAGAGGTGGCCTGGGAGGGCAGGCTTTCTCTGATGGACTCCGGTCTCAATGCCCTACGTGCGCCATCCCCAAGTGGCATCCGGCCACGCGGGGTTGGCACGGAACCTAGGACTGTTTGGCCCTAAAGGGGCTGACTTGGCAGTTGGGCTGAGCTTTCAGCAGAACTAACTTGTGTGCAAACCATGTAGAGGAGGGAGGGAGACAGGTCTCCTGCTCTTCTGAGTAGTTGATTACCAGTGGAAGAGGTGTTAACGCTATTTCAAACGGGAAAGTTCTCTCTCAGCTTGCCCCTTGCAGGCGCGGCCCATTTTCTTGGGCTAAGAGCCCATGGCTTTGAGATGTTGAGTAAAGCTGCCAGTTCACCTGGTAGCTTCCCACGGTGGGTGGGAGGTGGGGAGGGTCGTGGCTTCCTCCTTGCTGTCTGCCTCCTTGGCTCTCCCAGGAGGAGCACTTGCAAGACATCTGGGCACACCTCTTGGTGGGCTGGGTGTGTTCCCAATTGTGCTTGTGCACAGTCAGTCCTCATCTTTGTGCCTGTGGCTTGTGGTGACGGATTCAGCCCTGGCTGACTGCTTTTAGAAGCCTCTGTTGACGTAAAGCGAATTTGAAGGTGCCATGCTAAGACGATCACCCACTTCCCTGCCTTTCCTGGTCTTGCCAGTGGTTGTGGAGAGCAGCAAGGTGGAACATGATCTAATTTTCGACAATCATCTGCTTGCCTTGACACATGAACTCCGTCAGTGGCAAACCATTGTTCGCGGGTGCCTCTGCTCAATCTATACTGGTGATCCTCATCATGGTTATGGGTCATCTATTTGTGTAGACTTTGTGAGCATTGAGTTCTGGGGAAACCAAGTGGTTTATACCACTTGCTGTTCGTTTTCAACAGTGGGGGCTTGTTTCTCTGGGCATTGCCACCTGCATGGTCCTTGGCACCCTCCGGCTTTGTACCCTGCCACAGTCTTAACAATGAACTTATATATGGTCTGAAGATTGTGTCCAAGCTACCTCTTGACATTGGAAGAAACTTGAGGCTTCTTCTGCCAGCCTTCTTGCATCTAGAAATTTCTGAACGTGCTTCCCGGTCTCTTTTCCAACCTGGCAGGAGGCGTCAATCAAAGCGTGCTCATTCTGAGCTTGGGTGGGGTAGGGGGATGCTTGCCTAGTCCAAGAAGTCCAAGGATCGTGGAGTCACGGGCTTGGCCTTAGCGTGACTCCCCAGCCTCCATGAGGAGTCAGCAGATAAGAATGGAGGGATGAGTCAGCCACTGTGAGGGCAGCTTAGGCCAGATGCCCAGCCCACAGGGCCGGACAGACAGTGCCAGGACTTGAGGAGGAAGTGGATGGGAAATCTCTGGTGGGAGGTGGAATGTGATCCATCCTCTAAAGGATGGATGGGACATAAAGCCAGAGGGAGTATGTTGCCCCTTTGAGCAAGGATGTGACCTAAATCTGGGAACAACCAATGCATGGGACAAGGTAGACCAGTTAGTTAAGATGAAAATCCATTGTGTTCTAACAGATCATCTTCAAATGACAACTGCCAATAGGGCAGTCTGAAAGCAGGCAGGGAGAAGAGTGCCAGGCACTTTCTATCTCATTCCTCTGCTTTCTCTTGGGTCTGACCCTTATCTTCCCAAACCAAAAGGTTGTTAAAACTCTAGCCATCTCGTCTATATTTGAAGTAGGAGGGGTGGAGAAGAGAAAGACTCTGTCTGTGTCCTTCTTAATGCCATATCCCTAGGTCCCAGCATGGTGCTCTCTCTTAGTTATAGGGTTGCACCTGCACTTGCTAGCAAGCAGTTGAGAACTGACAACTGGGGCTTCTCAAGACAGAGAAATAGAAATAGCAAGCATCTCCAGCTGAACCTGGCCTGAAATGCTTCTCTCTGAGGTCTTGGCTGTGCCCTCTGTGCCCAGTGGCATGCTCAAACAGCAGGCTCCCTGGCTCGGATGCAGGGCCAGATTCCTTCAGCATTCTTTGGATACTCTGTGTCTGCATCTCCCACTTGCTGTTGGCAACACCGACCTGTGTCGGCAGCTGGAGACTCCTCTCCCTTTCTCTCCCATCTCCCTGGTTGTGAGTGAAGCTGCCGTGTGTCCTTTGCTCCCAATTCAGACATCTTTCTCCCAACTCCAGCACCCCCTCCATCCCAGCTATCGGAAGTCTATCTCCTTTCTCCATTGCGTCCCCTGCACCTTTGCTACTGCTCAGAGTCTCATTGCTGCCGTCCCGTCCCCAGTGCACACCACCTGGCCCCTCACTTGCTTCCTCTTGAGTCGCTTCTCTACTGAATCCCAAGCTGATCCTGTGTGGCTGGACCCTCATTTTGAACCTCCCGGTGAAGCTGTTAACGAGGCCATGGGAATCTCCCTGCCTGACCTGCTCCTGCGTCTACGGCATTGGTGAAGTGCCCCTCACCCTGGCACATCAGCCTGCCTTTTCATTGTCAACCTCTCACTTCAGCATACCTCCCTCCTCCTTATATGTTCTCTTCTTTGGAATTGTTTGCTGGACATCTCTGAAGGACTAGAAGCTCTTTTTAAAATATTTATTTATTTTTATGGGTAAGGCAGATCAGATTTATTGAGACAAGGAGAAACAAAGATCTTGCGTCTTTACTGATTCGCTCCCCAAATGGCTGTGATGGCCGGAGCTAAGCCAATTTGGATCTTCTTCTGGGTCTTCCATAGGGGTGCAGGGTCCCAAAGCTTTGGGCCATCCTCTACTGCTTTGCAGGCCACAGGCAAGGAGCTGGATGGGAAGTGGAGTAGCTAGGACATGAACCAGTGTCCATATGGGATCTTAGCAATTGCAAGGTGAGGATTTAGCCATTGAGCCATTGTACTGGGCTCAACTAGATGATTTTGAACCACTGGGAACATTAGAGTGAAGAAAAGCTGGCCTTTTGTGGGGGCGCCCTGTACAGCCAAAACCTCCCAGATCGGATCAGTTTGAGAAGCCAGAGCTCTAGTAATTGCCTCCATTGCTCCGTATCAAGCCTCCTTCCCCCTGCCGCTTTCTCCCTTGGTCCCAGAGGGCGTAGGCAAAGGATGTGCTGTTGAGGGAACTAATACTACTTTTTGTTGTGAGCTTGGCACAAGGTGCAAATAGCGAGCCCAAGTACTCCAAAAATGTTCTCACATCCCACCTCCTCTGGGCGGATCTGTTGTGGAGCAGGTCAGATCCCAGGAACTGGGTCAGATCCCACAGACCAGGTCAGGATACAGGGAGCAGGGAGCAGGAACCAGGTCAGATCTCAGAGATGAAATTGGATCGGAGGGACCAGGTCAGATTCCAGAG